GACAAGTTGGCTGAGATATATACCCGTGGGATCATCCGACTCCACGGAGTGCCCGTCTCGATTGTATCAGACAGAGATCCCAGATTCGTTAGCCGATTCTGGCACAGCTTACATGAAGCGATGGGCACCAAGCTTGAGTTCAGTTCAGCCTACCATCCGGAGACAGATTGTCAGTCAGAGCGGACGATTCAGACACTTGAGGATATGCTTCGCGCCTTAGTTGTTGACAGGGGTGCCAAGTGGGAGTCGCTATTGCCGTACGCCGAGTTCGCGTATAACAACAGTTATCATTCCTCCATTCAGATGGCTCCTTACGAGGCACTTTACGGTCGCAAGTGTCGTTCCCCTCTTTATTGGGACGACGTCGGAGAGCGACGAGTACTCGGTCCTAAGATGATCGAGGAGACAGCAGAGCAGGTCGAGTTGATCAGGTAGAGACTCAATACAGCTCAGAGTCGACAGAAATCTTCCGCCGATCATCATCGACGAGACATCCAGTTTGAGGTTGGCGAGCACGCCTTTCTCAGAGTTCGCCCGGTTCGCGGAGTAGTGCGATTCGGCAAGAGAGAGAAGCTGCACCTTCGTTTCATTGGTCCGTTCGAGGTTCTCGAGCTAGTAGGCGAGGTCGCGTATCGTCTAGCCCTACCTCCCGAGTTATCAGGCATTCATAATGTGTTTCACGCATAGATGTTGCGTAAGTACGTGTGCGACCCCAATCATGTCATCCCTCACACAGATATTCAGGTTCAGCCAGATTTATCGTACGAGGAGCGACCGGTAGCTGTACTAGACCGTCAGGTCCGTCGGCTCCGGAAGTGAGATATCCCCCTCGTACGCATTCAGTGGGATCGCCACGGAGCTACCTGGGAGGAAGAGTCGGACATTCGCGCTCGTTTTCCAGATTTCCAGTTTTGATGTACATATTCTGTTATCTTATGTACATGGTTCATGTATAGTAGTCATGTTTTGAATTTCCGAGGACGGAAATTTTGTAAGGAGGGAGGATTGTAATATCCCGATATTTTAATCGGTGTAGATTACGTTTAATTCCGATATAGTAACGTTATTGTTTATTATTGTCGGAATTAATTAAGTTCAGTCGGGATTACCGAAATCTATTTTCGACGTACCGTTTACGTCCGAAATAATTTTGGTAATTAAGTATCATGTTTAATTAAATAATTAGACTTAAGTGGTGATTAATTAGTGAATTAATCACATGATTAACCCTAAGTGCCGTGAGTATCAAGTATATTTTTTTCTAAATCTTTAGTAAAAGCCGTAGCCTTTGGTTAAGCAATGAGATTTCTTCAACCTAAGGGAAATATTTTCCTCCAATCAAATGCTAGCATTTGTCAAATGGAGAAGTAGCTTAGTCACCCCTATGTCTCATAATAGTGTAGCAAATGTTGAGGGGAGAAGGTGGCCACGTTGAGCACACTTC